CCATTTTGAAAGAACTTCAACGCCATAAAAATCCCCCCACGCCCCTGGTGCTCAGCATAACTGATACTTTCTTCAGACGCTGAACCCCCAGAGTGGCTGTAGCAGGAACAGCCCTGGCCAGTGCAGATGGTCACTGACTCACAGACCTCACGAGCACCTACCTCTGCAATCAGCTACATGTGGTCTCTTACACTGAGAGACGGAAACAGGCAGAATCAGGCAAACTCACATGGCGAGTTGGGGCTGGAACAGAGCCAGGCCCATGATCCACATTCATGGATGTATAATAACAAGAATTACTATCATTCATTAAGTGCTCGCTGTCTGCTAAAGGCTGTATTATCTCATCTAATTCTCTCAACAGCCCTTCAAAGCAGTTCTTATTAATCTCCCACAGAGACCAGGAGACGGACTTGGAAACGCGAAGTCATGTGGCTTGCCTGGCTCAGCTAAAAGGCACTGAGCTGGGTGGCCTGAGGGCAGCATCCAGCCCTTGTGCTTTCTGGTGTACTGGCTGAGAGGCTGACACCAGACACCACTGGAGCCCCAAAGCCATGGACTAGAGACCAGAAAATGGATGGTGGGAGGTGGGCCGGGTTCAGCTTTGGCCAGAGAAGCCATCAGTATTAATTCCCTGGCACACGGGCATCCAGCAGCCCTGGGTGCTTGTTCACCACCTGGCTTTGCAGGGGCGAGTCTCAACACCACCACCGACTGGAATCCGAACAATGCTGCCTTTGCCCCTTCAGCAGACCGACCAGGGAACGGGAGGAATTCATGTGAGTCCCGGACTCCCTACCCCCACCCCATCGAGCCAATCTCCTTCTCCCCAGGCAGCCCCCATCAGCTCTTCCAGGAGGGTGCTAATTTCATGTGCTCACGCCCAACTGTGTACAAACATGGAAATCATCAACATTTCCCTTTACCAGGCTGGTGTGGCCCCGAGCTGCTGGGATTTCTGGAGGAGATAATCCGATTTACAATTACTCCTGCAATTTTTAATTCCCCAGGAAACTTCTGCCTGTGTTCTACTCCCAAGAACCAAAACGGCTGTTGTAAGCAACCCTCCAAATGAATCTCTACAAGAACAAACGAACTGAGTCCTCTGGGAGGACAGGATTATAGGTGTCTTCAGAGTTCAAGTTCGCTCTAAATGGAAGGTTTCACCAGGTGTCTGGGTCAATGAATCAGCATCTAAATGTTCACTATGATTTAAGTGCTTTTGTGAACCAATCTTTTCCAAATGTGAATAATCATCAATAGATTTACTCTTTGTACATTCAGAACTGCTGCGGAACAGAGGAAGATGTACCTATTTTCAACACCAATGTCTCCCCCTGGAGCAGAGAAGGATGAAGAAAGGACATTTCCAGGTCCACATAACCACCACACAGCAGCCAGCATTGGTAGCTGGCATTTACTGAGCACCTAAGACGCACCAGAACCAGGCTCTGCCGTCCGTACCTCATTTATACCTGTGGTAGCACAGCCAGCCTGGGAGCACGGAGTTTTGTCACTGAGTGCACTCACGGAGGGCCCCAGGTAACAAGCAACACACCCTGTGCTGGGGTGAAAGACAGAACCATGAGTATATAAATAGACCAACAAAAAATGCCTGTGGTGAGGGCTATAAGGAAATCACACAGAAAAACACAGTCATTTGGAGAAGCCGTGGGAGGTGGGCGCAGTTTGGGAATGGGATTACAAAACCCAGGTGTTCAAGGTCCCACGGCAAGCGTGGGGCAGAGCTCTGGCTGCAATTTCCAGGATCACGCTGGAAGCCACCGCTTTCGATGACCTCCCATCCTTTTCTTTCTTCTTCTTCTTCTTTTTTTTTGGGGGGGTATGGGGGCCTGCTAGAGCTCCCTATGGTATCACAGATGACTCACACCTTTATCAACCGCTGCAAGCACCTGGTATTGTAAAACCAAAAAGAGCAGCACTGTTTTCTCCTTATGTTCTGGGTTCCAAGAGCAATGAGAAAAGAGTAAGAGTAAGAGAGAGCACACTGCACACCGTTTAAAGTCATTACAGGGGTGCCTGGGTGGCTCAGATGTTAAGCGTCTGCCTTCAGCTCAGGTCATGATCCCAGGGTTGTGGGATGGAGCCCGAGCCCCACGTCAGGATCCCTGCTCAGCAGGAAGCCTGCTTCTCCCTCTGTCCCTCCCCCCCGCTTGTGTTCACCCTCTCCTTGTCACTCTGTCAAATAAATAAATAAAATCTTTAAAAACAAAAAATTAATAAAGTCATTACAGAGACATTTCTCTAGAGTTATAAAATGCTCTTGAGGGAGACAGCTGGCAGAGGTGGTAAGATTTATGTTTCTCGAACTAGTATTCTGTCACTTAAATTTTTCAACTTTCCAAGCGCACAACCTAGAAACAGAAGTGTAAATGACCTAACGGGGAGATAATGATTTCTTCCTTTTGGAATGTATTCTGGGCTTGACCCTCCTCATCACAAATATCCAGCTCTGGTTAAAGTCTGTATTCCCGGAACCCCCCTCCACTGCAGGGCAACAGACAGGAGGGAGAAGTCAGAGGCCGCCTAAGCTCTTTGCATCAAATGCACACAAAGATGTGTTTCCTGTTCACTTGCCCCCAAAGCAGCCACTGACACCATGTTGTTCTGCCTTGGAGCCTGGAGTCATCAGTCACACACTGAGATTTCAGTCATGCCGGCGTGTGGACGATGGAAAATGTGCTCAGATCAGGGTCACCGTGGTGTCTGGGATACACTAAATCTGATTCCTAAATACTGCTCTAAAATCCTATTTCTAAAACATCAACAACCCTTAAAGACAGAGGCAAACAGATAATATGGAGGACTGCCGCACAGCCTTGCTACTGTGGGTCCCCGGCAGGGCTCCACGGGACTCTGGATCAGGGAGACAAACTGCTCTCCCAGGGTCTAACCCTGCACAAACCAACCAACCAACCCTGACGTGACACGGGCCAAGACGCTCTCCTGGTCAAAGGGATCCATGCGGACTTGGAAATCAGGGCAGGGAGCTGCTCCTTCTTTTACCCCAACTCACTGCGGACCCTGTTGCAGGGCTGGCTACCACTCACCGTGCTCCCACAGCTCCTCTCGCTGGAACTAGTGAACACACATGCACAAACTGCAAAGTAAGACACAGACGCTGGCTCTAGTTTCGTTTGTAAACTCGGCTGCTTCCAATGGAAATTTCAAGAAGTTTTAACTCATACATTTTTCTAAGGAAAACCAGAGACTACCTGAAAATAAATACATTAAATGCCTGTTAGAATAAGTGGTGCTTCTGAGTTGCCAGATTTTTACGACGATTTGCTTATTGGTGGCAAGAGATACCAGCCATGTGGCACTGAATTAGAGTGCTGGATCCTGACCCACCTCCGTAAATAACCATGTCTGCTAAGATCCATTCTTCTGAAGGAGACAGTAGAATGATGCAGCCAGCAACCATTTTTTCTAATGGTTCCTCCTTTAGTAAAAATACATTAAAGAAAGTATAACAAACCTCATATATCTATTACTTGTTAAACTTAACCTATTTTGCTTCTCTGTGTGTAGGTATGCACTCATTCACCAGAACCATTTTGGAGTAAAATTACAGACAGTATAACCCTTCACCCCTAAACACTTTTTAGCGTGACTATCCAAAGAAGGACATTCTCCTGCATGACTCATCACCATTATCGCACATAATAAAATTAGCAACAGTCCCCAGATTATCACCTACTACCCAGTTCACATCAAATTTCCTTGAACGGTCCCCAAATGTCTTTATCACTGTTTTGTTCAAACCAGGACCCAATCAAAAACCGCTAGGGAGTACCGGTTTCAGTAACATGGGACACAAAGAACGAATGATGGAAAGTCACAGGCACAGGAACCTAGCATGGAATTAGCAGCCTACCTACTTTTCCCTTTCAAAAAGAAAAATAAATTACCCGTAACCGGACCACAAAAGACCACAACGGTTAACATTTCCTTATGTTCTCTTCCAGGTTGTATTTTCCACGTAAACACACACTCATATATACAGTTGCAAGCAAACTGTCTGGCTGCCAGCCGAGAGCCAGCTCTACTTTTAAATGTGGCAAGGGGAGGTAAAAGAGCCAAGACCTGAAGTCCGCAAGGCCAACAGCTGGTCTGAGGGGTTAATGACCATGAAAAAGGCAGCCAGGTGCGTGGCAAGACCAAACTGCCCTGGGACACAGTTAGACGAGCCCCCAGTTTCAAGGGCACCGTGGCAGTGCCCAGGGTCCCACTGGCGTCCTCCTCCCCAGAGCTGACACTAACACAGCCCTGCGGAGACACAGAGCGGGTGTTGGTGGAGGCTGGCCAGCAGCAGGGGCATCCAGGATGGGTAACCATGAGACTTCTTACAGAAAGGACTCTGAATTCTTTGGAGGAAAGACACTATATATTTAAAAGCTATTAATAACATCCTCTCACCGAACTGTTAAAAAAGATTCAAACTCCTGGATATCAAAATTTTTATTTGGGATATTTTTTTCTTTTTCTTTTCTTTTCTTTTTTTTTTTTTTTTTAAGATTTTATTTATTTATTTGACGGGGAGAGAGATCACAAGTAGGCAGAGAGGCAGGTGGGGGGCGGGGAAGGAGGCTCCCCGCTGAGCAGAGAGCCCCATGCGGGGCTCAATCCCAGGACCCTGAGACCATGACCTTAGCCAAAGGCAGATGCTTAACCCACTGAGCCACCCTGGAGCCCCTAGGATATTTTTAAAGTTTAAAATTTTCAACCAACATATACATGCTGCACGGAACACAAGCCTCCAGCCCCACTTCATTCTCAGCCAAGCTGTGCTATCACATTGAGATATGAATCATTTTATTCCTTGGGAGAGCTGTCTGTTCATTTTCTTTAAACTATGCTGACCTGCAGAGCTTTCTGGCATGGAAGGTGTTTCCCAAGCAGTTCCAGCTTTAGTTCTGAGCCAAAATATCCCAATGCTGCCTCCTTCTTTCTGGAGATGAAGCCCAGGGCCTGCTTACCTTGCTTCCAGGGGCACAGACGGCTTCGTTTCCGGGGCTTCTGTTTCTCAGCAGCATTGCCCATTCTAAAATCAGGAGCTCAAAGGCCCCTTCTGAGCCTACGTGTCTTCACTGAACAGAGTAAGGACTGCAGCACCGGCTGAAAGGGGCTTCATCTCTCCCACATCCCAATCACCAAGCAGCAGCAAGCCCTGGCCAACGCCTCCAAGAAAAACCTGAATTCTGCTCACAGAGGCCCTTGCCTCCTGCCTTCCAAACTCCCTTCACTCCCAGAGAGGAAGCCAGAAGAAAAGGCTTGTTATCGCCCTTCGGGTGGGTCTCCGTCCCGGTCCGGCCGACCGTCTATATTAGGAAGCTCTTCCTTTGCCTTCCTCTGACACTGTTACTCATCCGCACAGCGGCCGCCTGAGAGTGAACTGCATTTCCAAACACTTTCAGTGCTGCCTTTCCTTGGGGGAGGAGTGGGGAATCAGGTGGTCAGAGAGCTGAAAGCTATGAAATGGACCAGTTCGGGGTGTGCCATGAGAAACATTTCCCAAGATTTAGTGAGGAGTTCTTAAGAACAGGCTAGTCCACTTATCTTTACCTACCTCCAAAAAGTTTACATTTGAATCATTTTGGGAGGCCATGATTCCTTGAGAAGCAGCTAAATCACAGGGTCCTTACCTCAACGGTGTTCTCTCAAGTAAATTTCTAGGTCATTTGTAAGGTTCAATGGTCAATCAACTGTTTCTAATTTGAGTTGCACTTTCTCATGAAAGCACAGTTAGGAATGTAGTAGGGGACCCATCTCCAGGCCACACATTAGGGAGGCAACCTGGGACTCTTCCAGATGACCTGAATCGACAATGAAACGCCATCCGACGTAGGATGCTCACCGCATGGCCGATTTGACATGTGCCATGACTCGCACGAGTGCTTCAAGGATGCTGCGGACCCTACTTGGCCACATGTTACCAGTTCCTCCTTGAAGTATCACTACCACAAGCCCAGATCACTCACAGAAGGACAAGGCCCCCCAAACTCCTCCCCTATTCCACCCATGGTGGGGAGGGAATCAAGGCCACCCAGCTGGTGAGACAGCTGGCTCTAGCTCCATGTTTATCCCTGGCTAGGAAAGCCACCACCCATTTCCTCATGACAGGAGAAGGTGGGAGAGCAGGGGAAAGGTGCCGGCCCTGGAGGGAAGCTGACCTGATCTGAATCTCAGCAGGCACTTCCCAGCTGGGCAACTTTGGGACAAGAACTTAACCTCTCTGGACTTCATTTTATTCACTTATGTAACGTGTACAATTATGCCGCCGGCTTCAGAGGACAGGTTAAAGGTTAAACAGGGTATTGAAGAAGTGCCCGGCACACAGCAGACATTCTTAAAGAATAGCTACTCTTGATGGTTTTATTATTTTATTATCTGTAAACATCCAGCCCTAGATATGTTGAAGAAAAACTACTTACCCTCACAAGGGATTTTTTTTTTTTCCTTATCAGGGTAAGAACTGCTGCAATATTCTGGCAAACAACTCATTCCTTTAGTGCAAATAAAGTTTCATTTACAAGATCTGTACCAGCAGAGTCACATTTCGACTGTGGAAAGTGGCCTAAACCAGGGAGGTAATACTGTGACCACCAAAGTTCTGAATGAGACTCCCCTCCGAACACAACATACTGGTTCAGAAGGGACCCTAGTCGGGGAGTCCGCAGGGCACTGATCACTTCTTGAGGGAAATCATGGGAAAAGCAAGGGACTGCTGTACTGTACACAGTCACCTCCCCCAAGCGGCAAGGAGGCAGAGGCAGGTGCCCACCAGCTAATGCAAGGCTTTGTGCATGGACTTTGTCTGTGAGGAGGAAAGTCTGTGTTGGTCACTTCCCCTCTGGAGAAAAATACAACAATATGCGGAAGCGCTGAGCACTGTGGGAAGGTTCCAAGTGGGAGTTCCAGCTCAGTCTAGGACATAAACAAAGGGGAATGACCAGCCTGAGGTCAGGCCCAGCAGAGCAGTAAGGCACAAAGTCTGGGAGCCAGGCATCTGAGCCCTCTCGGCTCCACTTTGAAGTCCTTCCCCGCCCAGCCCCAGAGGAAACCATCCACGGCACAGGCACATCTTGTGCTGTGTGTCATAGGAAGCACAGATTGGTATTTTCTTTTGACACATTCACATAGTCACAGATCAGTCACGGCCAGAGGGACCTCAGGGACTCACCCAGTAATTACCAACACCGAACTTAGGGAGAGCCAGATACACGTGCTAGGGCCCACTTAGTTACCACTGTGATCAGTGCTGAGAAGTTCAGGGTAAGGGAAACACGTCTAGCCGGGCAACCTAATCTAATCTGGGAGGTCAGGGAAGGGTGAGACTCAGAGGATCAGCAGGACATGCCCAAGCAAAGGCGTGAAGAGTGTTTTGCGTACAGCGGCATGTGCAAAGGCCCTACCGTAGGTGGAAGTAGACCAACGTGGGGAGGCAGAAGTGGGGGCCAGCTGGGGCAGGGTCTTATAAGTCATCTCATGAGCTTCAGGGTATCCCTAAAGTGTTGGCCAAACCGTGAGTGCTCAGTTTGGGGGAAGAACAGTCCACAGATTTCATCAAAGTCTCAACGAGTCCCAAAGGTTAAGGGGCATCTGGGTGGTAGAGTCAGTTAAGCGTGAGACTCTTGGTTTTGGCTCAGGTCGTGATGCCAGGGTGCTGAGATGGAGCCCTGCTTTAGGCTCTGTGCTCAGCAGACAGTCAACTTGGATCTCTCTTCCTCCCGCCCCAAACCCCCTCGTGCTCTCTTTCTGTTTCTCAAAAACAAAAAGACTTCCGAAGGTTAAGAAGCACACAGTCAGTCCAACCCTCACATTCCAAAATGAGGAAACTGAGATCCACAGAGGGAGATACTTCCCCAAGGTTTCCACAGACAGGCAAAGAACCAAATCACAGACTCCCAGTCTGGTGCTTTTCCACATCGAGCCACTGTCTTATTTCTGGCAGTGGTGTGTCGACAATGACAAAGTACCAACCCTCACTGAATATTGATACTGTATCCAAAACAAGGCTGCTTTGTTTCTGCCCCAGCAGGCCTGGAAGAGACACTCCACAGAAATGAACTGTAAAGTTGGCTGCTCCACCTTTCTTCAGGTCTAACCTAACCTGCAAAATACAAGAGGTCAGAACCCCTGCTTCCAAGGCATCCTCATGAGACAGCCGCGTGGGTTCTGAGGAGCTCAGCGGGGCCCACTGGGTAACCACAGGAAGGGCCATCACGGCAGACCCCTGACTGCTAAACCAGCACCTGGCCTTCTCAAGAAGCTGTTCTTTTGTTGTTCTTCAAAGTCAGGACTGGGCCGGGGATAAAATCTAGCCCACAGGACATGAAAGGCAAAAAGCCCACACCCCTAATTCTATAATTCTGCTGGAAATTGAGACAAACTATTTTTTTAACTGAACAACAGTATTTTTCCTCTCTGCCACTTATTTCATGATATACGGAGTACTTGGGAAAAGTCTAACTATGTATGGGGAACACTTCTGAAACTCTTGATGCGTCCCAGAATTCTCAAGTGCATGGACTGGCATTCGAGGCCTTGTGGAGTCTGGCCCCCAAATGACCTTTCCCACCTTTGACATTCCCCACTCTGGGGCTTTTACTTTGGCCAAGGACTCAATTCCACGCCCAAACCCACTCCTGCTTGCCGACACTGTCCCTCACCTCCTTCCTCTCCAGCTAAGCAACAGACTCTCAACGGGCAACCACACCAGGCTCCCATAGACTCTGCTTTGCTTGGACCACGACAGTGGCAGAAGAGGCAAAGCCCTCACCGCGGAAAGGCTTCCGGCCCTCCCTCCGGCCCTCCCGGATCTGTGGCCTCCTGCCCTCAACAGCTCCTGACTTCCAGAGACAGAGTCACCCCCCTGACTAAGCAGCTGACTCGCTACAGCCTCTACCCGGAGCTGGAAGGGGACGGGACAGCCAGCCCTGGTCAGGGTCTCTGAGCTCTTCCAGAAGCACACCCCTCTCCAGTGAGCGGCTGAGCCCACACCCAACACGTGCCTTTAACCACTCATTCAACAAACACCAGTGAGCTTCAGCTATATGCCAGGCGCCCTCTGGGCTCTGGAGAAACAGGAGCTCACCTCCCAAAGAGGGAAAAGAGCACCAAAAGGCAGCAAACACACGCGACACATTAAAAGAAAGGAAAGAAAAGGATGGGCTGAGGACACAGTGACAGGAGAGCGACCTCAGCCCCCAGGGGTAGGACAGGCCCCTGTGAGTGACAGGCAAACAAGAGCCGGAAGGAGTGGGGGCACAGACACACACACACACACACAAGAAAAGCCCAGGGTTCCTCGGCACTTAGGGTCTAAGTGCTTCCCGTCAGGAACGCACCATGACCCAAACACTGGCTCCACTTCTCCAATGAGAAAATGGATGTTAGGAGGAGGAGGGGTGAGCCACTCTCCAAGGCCCACAGCCTACGAACGACAGACGCCACGTTTGGACACGGCTGCCGACCAAGGGTTCTCAGGAGGCACGCCGCACTACCCGGGGCCGTGAACAGCTAGTGCAAAGGCCCCGAGGCAGAAGCATACTTGGTATATTCCAGGATCACTTGAAGGAAAGCTCAAAGCCTGCTCGGGGGCCCGAGGACAGGGTGCCACCGGCCCTGGTAAGGACCACGGCTGACCTCCCCACGCGAGAGGCGGTCATTCAACAACGGCGAACATGCTTGATTTGATCTAAGGAGCGCCCCGGCAGCTGAATAAGGGCTGGACAGTTGTGAGGCAGGAGTGGGAACCAAGAAGCCAGTGAGGAGGGGCCTCAGCGGTCCAGGGCAGACAGTGGTGGCCCGGAGTGAGCCACAGAGAGGAGGTAGGTACATCGAAAGCCAGCCGAGAGGACTTCCAGATGCCCTGGGTGCGGGCTGGGGGTGGAGTCAGAGATGACTCCAAGAAGGCTGAGCCTGAACAACTAGGTCAAAAGGGGCATTATTTACCGTCACGGGCACCCCAGGAGGAGCCAGTTAGGCAGGGGGTAAAGCGGAGAAGCGTGAGCTCAGAGCTTGTGAGACACCTGAGAGGACGGTAAGTGGGCAGTCTGTAGTTCAGGGGAGAGTTTGGGGCTGGAAATAGGCATTTTGGAAAACGACCAGCATTTAGATGGCATTTAAAGACATGGGCCTAAGACTGCTGAGAAAGAAATCGGAGGACTCAGCCCTAGAACATTCCAAACTGATTCTGGAAGAGAGGGGCCAGGAAAGGGGGACTGAGATGGGCGTGTCTTCCCGTTACTAGGACGCGCGCGTACAGTGAGACTATTCAGGAGCAGCTTGGAAATATCTACCGCCCTGGGTTC